TCTGTACAAGATAAACAGTGTTAAATAGGAAACAAAATGGCTACTGTACTAGCTTGTTGTGTCTCTTTGATCTCACCTGACTCCAAAACCTTTCATCACTGGAATTATTAAGAAGAAACCCATAACACTTAAATAATGAATATAGAGGATGTTATTTGAAGAAAACTTTCTAATCTAAATTCACAGCAAGAATAATAAAAGGCACCTCTTTACATGCTAAATGTGTATTTATACAATGGTTGCATGTAGTTCAATACATCCAGAGAAGAGTTTTAAGAGCTGTACTTAACTATACAGGTCTGAATCTGACAATAACTGGTATTCCCATCCACAAAGGCTTTGATTGGCTCTGTTGTTTCTCCAAATAGAAGGGCAGCAAGTCTAAAAAGCGACACTCGATCTCTTTGAAGTGCTCAAAAACAATTTAGATGTGGACATTTTAGGTCTGGAAGAAAGCTATCTTTATAGTATTAGCGGTAATACATGTTTTGGTTCAGCTGGAGACACATACACAGTCCTGGTCTCTCATTACTACACAGCAGTCAACTGCTCTGGCAACAATATCAATTAAATGACATCCGTGCCACCACAGCATAAAAAACAAAGAGAGGGGGACGGAGACACATGGACACATAGAGTAAACCGTTAGAAATATGGAGATGAAATGAGCCCCAGATACAAGAAGTGCAAGACTGGAGATAAAAAAAGAACAGAAGGACCCCTGCAAGGTTAAGCTTACTTCTTGCCTCGGCATTGTTATGAATATCAAGCAGACTGTGAAAATCTCTTTAAAAAATCACTGATAGTATAATTGAGTTTGCTTCTCCCCCTTCAAGTGACAACTCCCCCCTTCCTTACACTACAACTTATCTGTGAAATGCCAGATACCTAGCGGATGTGTAATTACGTTGTGGAAGATACCAACAGTGATACAGAGAGTGAATGACAGGTAATAAGGTAAGTGATAGGGAACATCAAACACACTCACACAATAACTGAGGCACATTCCAGAACCATACAGATGATACTGAATATAAAACACACACATACACACACTCTATGCAGCCATCTATCAAGCAGTAAAGCTCTCTGCTAGCTTAGACAGCATTACTGCTAATAGACATTTAGCCTGTGCCTCCTCAGCAGCACAGATAATTAACAGTATGAGAATTACAGGGAAGTGCAAGATAGGAGGAGACATGCTAAAGCAAACCCCCAAACAAGTGACTAACACACAACAGTAGCTCACTCGCCTGGCTGGCAGCAAGTTACGGCCCTATCTCAGCAAACAGCTAGCCAGGCGCCTTCAGGATTGCCCGGATTTATTTATGGGCTGCTAACTCATTTCCAAATGCCAATCCAAAAGTCCAAGGGTGGGAAGGGAAAAGATTTTTAGTCACAAGATGCCCAAAAAAGTTTTAATATTTTCAACTAGTTTTGTGTACACACTTTCAGTGTAGCATCTTACCATTTTACATTTAAACCTTTTTGTTTTCTTCAAATAAACATTGGTGTGGAAGAGTTACACTGTCACACAGCTTAATAACCCATTCACTCTTACACAACTCTAACCTCAGGCAGTGATAGCCATATGACTGAAATATATGTTCACCCAGTGGAGTATTTGGAGGTTAGCTTCAATCTTTACGGCCTGGTAAAAATGTGTGTTGGCCTTCTAACACATAGTTCTCAGCCAATGAGGCATTGCTCCATAAACAAGTATATCAAAGGAAGGAGGAAGGGGATGAGGAAGAGGGAAATGTTAAATGACTCTTCTGGGATTAAACAGCTGGTCAACGTTACAAGTCAGTGACAGAAGTGAGATCCAACCTTTCAAAGGCTAGATGGCTGCCGTGCTCGGACAGGAAGTTATATGAAAACCGCAACAGGACAGACTTGACCACACTGGTTATAAATGATCAGTAGAGCACGATGGAGTGTGTAATTCTGCATGAATTATCATCATCTCTTCTAGACATCTTTTTTTTGCAAATTAAGGAAGGTCCTGACTGCTTTCTTGGCTACTTGAAAACTAAGAATAACATTCTCTGTGGTCCAAAAAGAACTTAATGGCCTACTGTACCCAATGCAGAAAACTGAGGATAGAAAAAAAGACAGCAGCATCCATATTTTTATGACAATGGTTTGTTAATAACATCCCCTCTTCCTGACTTCTCTCTTGATAATACCATTGCCAAACAGTAAAAATACCATTTGTTATATTAAGTATAGTATGTGGTAAACAGAACAGATGTTCTCTCTCACACGACTTCAAGTATCTGTAAAACTCTTTACATAAAATAAAGATTACTTAAATGTATATATTCAACTCTCTTTTTGTTAAATTCCCATTCATTTCCTTTCTCAATGGCCAAGAGGAGGAATGGCGAGCAGAAGGGATAATAGATGGATGAGATACAGAACTGCTGTAGCTGTGTTTCATATTTTCGATTTAGAAGAAGTCAGAGCTGGGGCAGGTGAAGGCTAAAATGAGCTGAGAAAATAAATGGATACTGAGACGTAGAAAGTCAAGAGAGATGGGGAGAGAGAAGAGAGTGGAAGCGGTGCAAAGACAAGTACCAATTTGAAAGAGAGGATCAGTTCTGACAGAGTAATCGAATCAGAAAGTCAGCAGACCTATCCAAAGCTCTACCCTCCATTTTATCCTCTCCATTCCCATCCCTTTAGTGTCATCTCCTGTCTCTGTATTCCTGAGCTCTCATCTCACTTTTCTTTCTCCCTCTAAACCTCTTGAGTTTCTGCGTCAATCTTTCTATATGCTCTGCTTCATGTTCTTCTACTGTTCCAGGGCAATTACTTTCTGTTGTCTCATTTGCAGTGGAATCGGGTCAGACCAAAGGGGGCTAAGAGATGTTAGGAAGAGTGGAAGAAGCCTCTCATGAAGAGGCTATTTACTTTGAAGCCAAACCATGAGAGGGATCTTATACATGAAAGTGTATGTCATCAACAATCAATGGAGAAAAGGAGGAAGTGAAGGGAGAGGTTACTTTGCAGAGAGGGCTATACATTTTTATAAAGAACAAAAACTCCCCACCAAATGAAGTATGTGTTATTGTGTGATGGAAAAAGCTTTCACAAGAGGGTTTAACCCTGGGTGTATAACATAAAGCAGACCAGAGCAGATCTACAGCATTAAGTAGCTATCTACAAAGGGTGTGGGCTTTACATGGCGAACAAGGGATAGATGGGCGTGCATTGGGTGCTGCTGCTGCCTTTGGTCATTACTGCAGAAAGGCCTGCTGGGTAAAATTGAAGGCTGAAAGTAGGGGGGAGGGGGGCAGCATGCAGATTTGTTTTTCCTGGACAATTGGAGGATTGCATGGAGCTTTGTCAATCACACAGAGATATTTGCAGGATAAGAAGGAGCATTGTCAATTACACAAACAGTTGATGTTTTCTGTTAAATCATTCTGGGCATTTCTGATGCATTCTGGGGAGGCAGTTAGGATGGACGATGAAGATTGAGCATTGAAGCCTGAGTTTAGGAGGAAGAGTTTATTTTTAGGACATTATTAGGACTGAACTCATTGCTTCTACAGGGATGGTAAATCAGGGCATGGTCTGCTGCATGCACGCTTGTGTGTATGCAGTGTGTGTGTGTGTGTGCCGCTGGACGAGGTAAAGGAAAGTAGTGGAGTACACATTTTTGTTACTGTACTCAAGTACATTTTCCTTGTATCAGTACTTTACTCCACTACTTATTTTCTGACGACTTTCTACTTACCTGTACTTTCTACTTCTTACATGTTGAACACAAATACCTGAACTTTCTACTTCTTACATGTTGAACACAAATAC